CGTGCTGAGCGTTCGTCAATCATTCGATGGACATCATCAGAGCTGGGTGTCATTTCTGTACAAGTCTCACGTCAACACAAGAACAAGAAGACTTTTGGCTTAATTGAGTCTCTATAAGAGGTATGATAGGGCCGGATCGTCTTCTTGCTCTCGTGTTAACGTGAGACTCTTACAAGAATGACACCCAGCTCTGATGATGTTCATCATTTGATGGGCGCAAGCTCAGCACGTTTTCACCCTAAACGAGGTTGGAGGTCTCGTGGACCGCGTCAACCTAAACGTCGTATCAGAGCCAAATGGCTGCAGAACAACGCGATTAATCCGTCCTCTTTTTCTGGTCAGATCGACCAAAGAATTTCTTCTTTAGGCACTTTCATCCGAAATGAAAGTGCTCCCAACAACAATTGCGGACAGGTCACAATTTATGGGATTAATTCGTACCGTGAAAATGCCATATCATTTAGAAACATACTATTCTATGCGGTTACAGCATATAAAGTTATGTAGTTAGTCGCATCCGAGAGAAAAGTCTTAACAAAAATGTCAATCTATTTCAATGTTTTCTTTGTTTTTTAATCTGTCGTAATAGCTAAGGATAATCAAGAAGTATGCAAAGCCAAATGTTTTCAATAATGACAGCAATACGTTTTAGAAAGTATCATCTCTTGTCATTTTAGCATTTGCCTGTGTAAAATATCTTCTTACTTGGCAATACTTTGAATTTTGCAATTAGCTTTTGATCCATGGGCTGCAATAACGATGTTGTGTTTGCCAGTAAAAATATCACATTTTCCAACTCACACAAATCTATCATTGTAATACTTCTTTTCCCAGAGGTGGCCTTAAAAGCACGTAAGTTGATACCATCATACCTTTTTTTCTCTATCCGATTTGCTTATTTAAAAATAATCCCTACTAATGCTTTTTGCATTAAAACTTCTCTGCCAATTGTAGAATTGCTATCTCCATGTTTGCCCCTTTTTATTACATTAATTATGTGCTCTAACATAATCACCAACTGCTTCGTATATTCACCTACAATATTCACTTTAACATACTTCCCCTTGTCCATATTTACTAAATGCATACTTTATGCTATACGTATGGGATTGGATGGCGAGTCAAGCATCAGCCCAAGTAACTCAAAAGCCTATAATTTCTATTTGCTATTACAAACGGTGCTAAATGTATCATCTCAAGTAAGGCTAAATAAGATTTGTTAAAATAAAAACTGACACCCATAAATTTGCCACTCCATTCCAGCGTTCCCGATATCTTCACCTTTTGGTGCTCACTTGCCAATCTCACAGACATCGAACAAAGTGTCAATGCGGGCCCTCAAAATGCAGATTTCTTGTTGGTTGTGGAAGGGTCTACTCGAATGAGGTCCTGAAACAAACGAGTCAGTTGCTGTTACGCCATTTTCATAGTTGTTAGGGGTCTGGTAATTGTAGAAATGTACCAGTTTCGATTGGTCTCTGCATCAGACCGATGACTTGACGTTTCGTCGCGAACTCACCTTTGCCGTGCATCTCGAACGCATCATTTTCGTCTCCAACCTGGACTGTGATTTCGACATCATCTCATTGCTTCAGCAGGTCCCTAGTCGAGGTTCAAACTGTGAGCCTTTCGATTCATCGTGGACAGCGCCGCTGTCGGTCGAATGCAAAGAACCATTCAAAACTGGCAAAACTTAGGAGAAAAGTTCGTGTTTCCAGATAATAGTTTTGGCGTCGCCTCTTCTACTCATACCCATTTCATGATGGCTCTGTGGCAGGTTGTGTAGGAAGTATTTTTTTTGATGATATGTATTTCCGTTGATCTGTTTGGTGTGGATGACTATTCAGCCTCTATTTCCTCTACTGACATAAGCACAAGGTTGCTGTCGAACCAACTATCAGCATACCACTGGGATAGGCCGTTTTCTTGCTCTCCGTTGGTGTTTTTAGCACAGCCAAAGCAACCATCTTGGTCGGCTAGAGTGATTCTGGAAGGCTGCTTCAAAGTTTATACAAATGTTATCTTCTTAATTACACTTTGCTCAACAAATGTTGACGTTTCTGTTCGGTGGG